ATTGATTCCTATGAGAAGATTGTCTGACTCTTAATCACTGATTGCCTTGAAAACTCATGCTGTTTAATAATTAATTGCTTAAAGTAAATCCTTTTTGGCATTTGAATTGCTTGAAAAATATCGGAAAAAAAAGAACTGAAAAATTTGAAAAAGATGGGAAAGTATAGTTTTCGCTCTTATCATCGAAGTTTGAAAAACTGGAGGTCTAATTCTGGTTATGTTATCCAGGCTCTAATAGACAAATTCCAGAAAGAGAACACCTGTCTGTTTGGAGAGATGTCCACTCTGACGGGACAGGGCGTGATGGGAGTTAGAAACAAGGCCTGTGACTCCCTCTTGGCCTTCAGAGTCGAGTCCAAACTGAACAGTGGGGGCAAGAAGGCTGAGGATATTCTGAGCAGATTGCATGTTGCAGTGCCTAAGAAGAGAGACGACAAGGTTGGTTTGTTTGATGAAAAATTGTAATTCAAAAACAAGTGGAATTTTCAACAGTTTCTTCTGATTAGTGTTGTTCGAATGCATTGGATGAGTTGAATATATTTATTGACGCTTTTCATTTGTATTTGTATTTTATGAATTTTTCTGAAATTGTTACGGTTATCGATTGATCGGACGTATGATCGAGGTCGTTGTCTTACTTGATATACGCAATGTGATGAGTTAACAACATGGTATTTGAACTTTTGCTAAGTTGGCTCAAAGAATTCAGAAAAATGTTTCTAATATAATATTGTATATATATTTGGAAAATTATAATTTAGTTTGGTTTGTTTAGGAACGGCCCATTTGTATTCCTGAAGCAGTACTAAACCGAGAGGTGAAAATGGACACCGAGAAAGTTCTGGTAAGTTAAAATTTTCTGAAGCAATATTGAAATATATTGACAGTTTATTTTCGCGCAAGCGAAGCGTAAGTGTAGGGCATAAACCTTCTCAAATCTAGCACCTGAATTGTTTCTTCGAATAGGATGCTCTGGTGCATCCGGGAACCTCATAAAGTAAAATTGCTGATTCGAAAAATTTAATCATATTTTTGGTTTCCCCAATTTTGATAAAATAATGAAATTAGTCATTGATTAGCGAGTTTTCATTACCCATTACCCAAACATAGTTCGGATCTTGGCAACTTTTCCTTTCCTATGGTACTTATTAACTAATTTACACCTCTCTAAAAGACTTATCCATGAACCAGCATATGCGAAGTCGATGCCTTGCTGCGAATTTCCCCTCCCCTTGATAAAAATTGGGGGAATAGATAAAAAATACTCCAGGTTTCATATTTTGTGTGTAGTCCAAACACAAGCAAGTGGAGGAGGGAGCGGACTTCAAACTGGACTTGAGGGCGGAGTGGATTGCAGTGAAGCCAGAGGAGAGATATGACCCCATTCCGGAGATACTCAACGGACACAATGTTGCCGACTTTGTCGATCCAAACATCAAGCAGGTCAGCCGACAAACAGAACAATGCCCTGTTTCTTGTTGTTTATACGCTTATATGCATGCAAACTGATTAGAAAAGTTAGATGAACGAATTTATCTGATTTTACGTAAAGTGGCAGTGTAACGAATCATTTTGTACCTTTTTAAAGAGTTCAGATGATTAAATAGAAAACCATGTCACGAACGCTAAATTGAATTCTTATTGGGTAATTTGAAAACAAAATGATTGAACATATCGGGTTTATGATGTTTGTTTGCAATCCTGCAATAAATGAAGAGTAAATTTTTTCTCCCAGAAACTGGAGGCTCTGTTGCAAGAGGAGAGAATGCGAGAGGAGGCAGGCTTCTACCTCCCAGCACCCCCAGAGGACGATGAAACTCAGGAGATCAGAAGAACTGCCGATCTGTGAGTAATGGTATTATACTATTTACTAATATTCTCTACTGCCGTTTTCATCTTACTAGATTAATTTTACGGTGCATTTATTGAATTTACGAAGCTGTATATGAGAATAAAAAGTGTCAGTGTTTGGGTAATCAAAAGGACACGCCTATTTTCATGATAATTTGACAGCGTGAATACAAAATTCAGGTGGGTGGTTGAAGCTCATACTAATATCGAAAAGTGGAGCATCATTTAATGATAACATGTGGGAAACAAACATTTAAGAGAAAAATGTTTTTTTTTGTTAGCGAAAGTGTGGCTGAATTTTGCTGTAATGCCTTTTTTAGCAGCATGGTTTGGGACAAGAATGAGTGGCTTAATTTAGTAAAAGTTTCTGCAAATTGAGTTGAAGTTGAGGACTGTTTTGTGTGCAGAGTGCGAGTGGAGAGGTACCACAGAATGATGGAGGGCAGATCTAAGAGGAAACACAAGAACCAGATCATGCCCAGGACTTCCATCACTGTAAGTAGCAGAAGAGAAGTTTATTTTAATGTTTATTTATACTGAGCAATTGAGTGTAAGTAGAGTGAAGCTCAAATCATTCCACTGATACAAGCGTCACACTAAATGTTAATCTCAAGGGAAAACTGATTACATTCAACACTCTCACCTCCTAAGTAACCATAAATGGTCTTCGTAAAAACCAAAAAATAATAATGATAGATGTGGGACACTTGTGTGGAATGATATAGCACATTCAAGAAGACCCCCCCTAAGCTAGTGATTTTCGAGTAATGCTGAATACTCAGAAATTTGCTTTAACGAAATACATTTTAAAAGTGTGGCTTTTTTCTGTGCAGCACAAAATGTCGGATATCCGCAAGAGGGCGAGGGTTGACGGACTGGACGAGGAGCCGATGTTGAAGAGGGCGAGGAGCATGAGCAAGAGCAGAACTAGACTCCCAGCTGCAGTTGACAAGTCAGAGAGTAGAGGCAGAAGCACAACCAGGTCTCTGTCCAGGACTCCCAGGGACAAGAGTGGGATGCGCGATGAAACTGTGAGTAGTAAAAGGTCTCTATTCTGGTCTTGATTTCAATCAACTTTTTGATTGGTGTCACTGATTTTTACTATTTTACGGGGTATCTTTAAACAAGGCTATCGTTGGCTTTATGGCTGTTCTACCATGACCTAAATTGCAAATAAAAAAATTAGTGTTTGACCAAAATCATCAACAAGATCTGAAGACGTCATTTTTTTGAAAAGGAAACTTATTTTGAAAACTCCCCTCCCCTCGTGAAAATTCTAGATCTGCTCCAGCTCAGAACAAAAGGGGAAAATAGACCTAATCAAGGGTACAGAATGTTCTGACCACAGTTTCTCAAAAGGGTTTATATTGAATTTGTTGGCAGTATCTTTGCGGAATCACGATTGAAAGGGCTTGAGTATTATAGTACACTCGTTCACCTACAAATTAAGCTAACTATTAGATATTTACTGTTACCGGAAAAACTCCAACCGAGGTCTTGGTCACCTTAATGGGATAGTTGAAGAAAGCAATAATACTCTTTGAACATGATGGTGTTTTTGTCGAACTGCTGTTGGCGTTTCTTTCCTTGTAGAGACCTGTAATTGGTTCTGATCGTTTTTTTTTTTCATGTAGGCGGTGCAGAAGGTGAGGATGATGGCTAAGAAAACTCAGATGAAAAAGTTCGGACAGGACTCGAGGAAGGGAGAGTCAGACAGACACATCTACAACCTCAAACCCAAACATCTCCTGGCTGGGAAGAGGAGCAAGGGCAAGACCAGGAGTCGATAAGTGGGATCCGCGAACTTAATTCCAGTTATGAGTTGGCTGGTGAAAACATGTGCAGATCGTCGAACTTCAATTGCAGTGTTGTTGTCGCTGATTTTGAAATATTTAATGTTGTTATCGCTCTCTAGAAATGATTCATTGCGTCATCGGTGATTGGATCAGTTGAGTTGACTTGTCTCTAGATGTTGATTTGATTTTGAATATGCCTCCTCTTGAATTGAAATGACTCCCAGATTCTTGAAAGCCTTCTCTTTTTTTTCTACAAGATTTCTTATAGATTCTGAGAAATTCTCATTTTTTTCAGATCGTCAAAAAACAATCATGTTTACTTTTGGGATAAATTTAGCCATGAGAAAAACTGTTATGATATCCTTTTCAAAACAATCGCTCTATAGTTTGCGTGAATCTTGAGTTGCAAGAATTTTTTTAGGTTATAAATGTGTTAAAATACTAAAATGGAAGAGAACGACGAACGAAACTGGTCAGTACGAAAAATAGTATCGTCGATGGGTGCCCAGGTGAACCCAGAAACGGGTTCGAATCCCAGACACTCCAGTACTTCAGAAACAGTCCAAGACGGGATCAAATGTGTTTCAACTTTTCTCGATCAAATTAAAGAACAGCCTCCCGCCGCACAAGTGGGAGCGGGTGCTGTTTGTGGATTTATAAATGGGTATATTTTCAAGAAAATGGCGAGGGTGACTTTAATAGGAGCTGGAGGAGGTCTGCTTGTGTTGGCAGTTGCACAGAATCAAGGATACCTCAAAGTCAATAGGTCAAATCTGAAATCGGATATGTCAGCCTGGATGAATAAAGTTCAAACCAAGTTTCACTCTCTGATGCAAAGAGAAACCCTTTCGGATGAGTCAGTTATTGTTTTCTACGAGAGATTTTCACCACTTGTATTCAGTTTTGTAACCAGACACTGCCTGTTTTTGTCCGGAACGTCGGGAGGATTTTTACTTTCTCTTGCAGTTTGAGTGTACGGACTCTTTGGACTCTTTGAAAATAGTTTAATCTATTAGAAATTACGAATTAAATTTTTTCCACTAGTTTTTTCTGTTGAGATAAATGCACTATGAATTGAAAAAAAATATTAAAATAGGCTTTGTGCTCCTAGAGTTGTGTGATGGTTGCTTCGAAGCTGTTTGATTGAAAAATGGCTGATGGATTTTTGTGATGGTTGCTTCGAAGCTGTTTGATTGAAAAATGGCTGATGCAAGAGTTATAAGATTTTTGAAATGTGCAGTTTCAATTTATAAAATCATTGGTGTAATTTTATTCGTTATGTTCATTTCCAAACAGAAACAACAGACAACACCTTTTAACAGTAATTCCAGAGTTTAAATATTTTTCAGATCTTAATGGGCAGTAGCGTTAACGATGTCCGAAAATAATTACGAATCCTTTACATTCATAGACAGCGATTGCAATTCAACTTCAGATCTAGACCCAAATAGAGAGCTGAACGAAAAAGTCACTCACCTTCATTTAGTTCTGAAATTCTACTTCTCGCCTTTAGGTACAAGTGTCATTAATGGGTCCTCATTTTACAAATTATAGATAGTTAATTAAGTGTTGACAAAACCCAATGAATTTTCTTTTTCTTGGATCTAGAAATTGTTTTAGCAAGCACAGAAGATGACACTTATTTTTTCAACTTAAATTTTTTGACATAGAATACATGTTGTCATAAACATGTACTCTACAATACAGTTCATGTCAGAAACATTCTCAAATTTTCAGTCTAAAATTTCTCGCTTATGATGCAAACCATGTTTTTTTCTATGTAATGCATTCCTTAAATGGTTTTTATAGGGGCCTGTTTATCATACTTGTACCTACCTACCTATAGAGCAACAGCATGTGATTTATCTGCTTAATTTGTACAGAGGCAATGGCAATCTGAACTACCTTTGTCTTCATTTAAGTTCGCTTGTAGACACTGTGTCCAAAAGATGTCTTCTGAAATGTCTGCTCCCTTTCGTCCCGAAAAAGCACGTGCAACACTATCATAAACTGGTGGCCGATTTGTTCAACGGTTTGACCTTGGAACGAATTCATAATGTGCAGTTTGGATATTTGAGGCACATAGATTCTTCGTATAAGAAGAGAGAAAAGGACCACTCGTTGGACGAGCTACGGAAAGCATGTTAGTTAGTTTTAGTTAACGGGCTGATTTAAAGTTAACTCGTCGCAAAATTACTATGAAAATCAAACTTTTGAGATGACGCCAGAAAAATGAGAGCATTCTGAGCAATATTATTAGAATTTCAGTTGAGACTACTGAAAATTGGTTGTTCTGGCTTGCTGGTGTTCGCTTATAGAATTCAGATTTGTTGTTTGCTTGACTTTTATATTAGTAACTAGATATAGTTTGGAAACAATTTATTTTTTTAAAATTATTTATCACAACATAAAAGCAAGGAATGAAGACATAAAATGAAACATCATATGTTTTCGCAGCGAAAAAGCCACTTTTTTGTCTTATTGGTGACTTAAAATTGTCAACATTTATTGATATTTTAGTGGGGTTGTCAGGTAGCTCAAAACCAAATCCAGTGCACAAATCCGACATCAATTTAGCAGAGCTAAGGGACCAACAGAATAAAAACACATCACAGCATAATCTGCAGATACCCTCGATTAACAATCAACACGTGTCCTCACAATCACTGCCATCGCCCGTTCTTTCAGGGTAAGACTGTCTGTTTGGTATGAATCTTATGGGCCAAAATTTTGCATAGATATTGGTTGTTGAGATATTCAGAAAACTATTATTTTAAAATAAGACCAAAAAAATTTTCAATCAAATATTTTTAATTATACTCAAAATTTGTTTTAAAAAAAGTTAATGATATATTGAAGTTTATATTTAATGAAATAATATATTTAGTAGTATTTGTTAAATAGGAGACTTTTTTAGGCCATTGAATGAAGCCAGAGGAATATCGTCGCCGGCTAAATCTGCGTCGACTAAGATGACATCATTCAAGGAGGAGGAGTTCGACATAGAGGTGAAGAGGAAGTTCAATCAGGCATATGGCTTCAGAATCAAAGGAGGAACGGATACAAAGGAATCCATTTTTGTCGAAGAGGTAAATTGATATCCAAAATCACATTCTTCCGAGTCAGAACGCTGCTCATACTGTAACATTGATGGCAATTAACAAGTTCAGTGCTGTTTTTCGAGAGGTTGATTGAAGTTTTTAAAATGATTGGTTCAAAACTAGCATTCTTAGCATGATGCTTTGAAGAACTAAACACGAGTTATATATCTAATTTTAGATTGGGTCAGGATCACAAGCTGAAAAAGCAGGTCTAAAGTGTCTGGACCAAGTTAAAAGTATCAATGGACAATCTCTGAATAATTTTACAAACAAAGAAGCCTCCAAACTGATTCGCTCTAACAAGAAACTAAAAATGAAAATACTACGAAAGCTTCCGCCGTCTACGAGTGTAGGGACAGATAATGCTCTTGAATACGATGAACCCGATGTGGATATTGTGCCACGAGAAACAGAATTGAGTAGTCAGAAGCCAGACTTGATTTGGGTCGACAAAAATGGAGATGTTATTGCTGATGCAGAAGAACGGTTTCGGAATGCACAGATAATCAAGGTTGGTTATAAGTTGCAGTAGATAAAATTTCTTGACTTATCTCCGTGCAATCTGCCCGGCATTTTCTGCTAATGTTTCTGTGCGATTTCGTTGCTAATTTTCGTTTTGTTTCACTTTTCGTCTGATTTTTTTCGAATCGGTTATTGGGTTGATCAAAAAAGTATCTTGATATCAAAAGAACTTGATGGCGATGTATTGCGTTCTCTGAAACTCGAAACTTTGAAAAAAATGTTGGATTTTTGGTCTATTTAGTTCATCACACTAGCAAGTTTAAGCGAGAGTAGTGTTATAGTACGACTATTCTTTGTTTCCAACCTAAGTCGAAACTATTGGTGTCACTTTTGGAGCATATTTACGGCTTTTTTATAGCATGTGATTTGAAATTCGATTCGTAATAAGGTTTTTTATTAACCCCCGACCCAGCTCCCACTGTTCCCGGCCCAGCTCCCACTGTACCTTGGACCTTTCATTTCGTGGGGGAGAGAGTCTTCATCCATTTTATCGCAGCCAGTCCCACCTTGAGGAGGCGGATGACACTAGGACCCCTCCAACCACGATCGAAGCGGGATTCGAACCCACGACCTTTTTGCTAGAGGCCGCGTGTCTTACCCTGTCGGCTACGTTTGCTCTTAGTAATGAGTTAACACAGTTGATGCATTTTTCATTTATCAGATGAGCCAAAAAAAGGTATTTTTTCAAACCAGTACAATAATGAGAACTTGATTTCAATTTTTTTCCAACTCCATATATCTCGCAATGATTTTGAAATGCATAATTTATAAGAAAATTTTTGGTTTTATGCTTCCGAATTTATTACATGCAAAGTTAGTGTGGATTTTTATATTGCTAATTTTTACTAGTTTTGCCTGTTTGTTAAATTTTTAATTTTTACATGCAAAATTGGGTCTATTTGTTTTTGGTGCCGGTTTTGCTGCATGGAATTGGCAATTTGTTAGCTTATGTAGCTGCTTTATTTGTGGCTAGTGTTTGCTAATTATCAGGTTACGTCGTGCTATAACGAGGACAGGGGACTATAAATCTCGTAGTATCGATTCAGCCATAGCAAAGTTTTATTTTTCAGTTTTTTTTTAGTTACACTAGCTATCAGCGTAGTTTATAACTACAAACCTTCTTTTTTTTCTAACCTCAAAACTCGCAAATCAAAAGTTTTCATTGAAAGTCTTCACTTATATGGAAATTTCACTAACGTTGGAAATTGCATAGCATATGTTCTCTGCTTTATTTGTGGCTAATTTTTGTCATCAAAGAAGTGTCCGTGGTTAGTGTTTGAGTTTCACAATCGATAACTCGCACTAGGTCATAGGTTTTACTTTTTTTAAAACTAATTTGAGGCTTATTTATACTTTTTCTTATTGCATTAAATGTAGCCGCTTTTTGTCGTGTTCTCGCTAGTGCTTGACAAGTGAAGCTTCGCCTCTGTGTTCACTTTATGGGGCTATTTTTTGTCATTTTTCGGTAGTGTCATTTTTCGGCTCTGTGTTGAAACTTCTTAATATTTGTTGAATATGTTTGAATGTTTCATTATTTGGATTTGACAGCTAGGCAGGCTGGTTGATGGAGATGTGTCTAAACTATTCTTTTTCTAATTTTTATTTAAATCATTGATTGTTGGTTGCAGTTCTTCATGTTGGTGATGGTTTCTTCTATTACGATTTCATGGTGACAATCCAGATGTTGCTGCTGTATAAAATTGTTCGCCATGTATCTTCCCTGAGTAAGTTGACATCATGTATAATTTTTGTGACAAATTTCAATGACATTTTTGGTGATTTTCTAATTTATTTGTTAAAGCTATTAGGGTTCGATGCTGGAAATCGCCGAAAAAAAACACATTGATAAAAGAAGACATTGATATATCTGTTTTAAGAAGTTAACCTTTAAAATTTCAGTTTTCTGCTCACGCTTTCCTGTAGTGTCTGAGTCGCATATACAACTTAGCATATGTTTCCAACCTACACAACTGCCAGTCTACATTATGTACAACTTAGCATCCGGAACCAAATTGATACATTTTTGAAGCCAATTGTGTGATTTGCTAGCAAAACTGTTCTAGTTAAAACTCATTTCTAGGTGTTGTTAGTGCTGCCTTCCAAGCGTGGAGGTCTCGGCTTCCGAATCAGAGGCGGAGCTCAGTATGGCATCGGAATCTTCATTTCAAATGTACACCCTAACAGCATCGCAGCACGTCACAATCTCCAGGTACTTTTTTCTATTGATCTCAACTCACTCTAGATGTGGGCGGGCGGTAAGTTTTCTTTCAGCGAATCAACACAGGAAAATTTTAAAAAATAGTTATTTCACATAAGCGACTTAGCCAAGCACATCAATCGAACACTAATGTTATAATGTCATAATCTTAAGGAAGAGATGTTGTCAACCATCCTCTTTGTGGGCTTCATAGATTTCGTAAATTGCTGAGGTTTTTGTTCCGATCACTGAAAGGGAGGATTTTTGTCTTCTGGTGGTTTAAAGATCTTTTCCAATTCAAAATCAGATACCACAAATAATCATTGGACTGATTTGAGTTATATAGTGTCGATTTCTCTAGTGTTGATACAAAATTTTCTCTAGTGTCGAAAGAAAAACCGGTTTGAAATTTTTGATTTTCGTCTAATTTCTAGCGACGAATGCCGGCGCTTAATTTATGCTTAATATAGGCCGCTTACAATAGCCTAATTATGCTAAAATTCGAGAAAATTTTGTTTTTGGAGATGTTAAATGCCATTTAGGTTATCAACAACTTCAAAAATTCAAAAAAATTCAGCAAAAAAAAAATTTTGTTTTGATTTTTTTTGTTTAATTAGTCATTTTTCTTCAAAAACTGTTGTCCGGTTTGCCTTTATTGTTGTAACTCTCGAATATGCCTAAATTATATTTTTCTGACAGATCCTTTTACCACACCACGCAGAAAAAGCTACACTAATTGTATTAAAAAATTAGGTAGATTTTTAAAGACTATTGTCGGAACATTCTGTGCTACTTGCACAATAACCGGCTATTCTTGTTTTATTAAGAGTAATGAACGTAGTGAGTACTCTTATATAGGTCTTGCTGATTTTTTTTTCAGGAAAAAGTCTTAAAATTTGTTCACGCGCAATTTTGATTTTTCGCGGTTTCACTAGTGATTTCTTTTTAAGTTCAGTGCAATTCTATAGTTAAAAGGAAGGCAAACGTGATCGACTTCTAATTTCGAAAATGGAAATTAATTATCAGATTTCCCAGCGAAATGAAAGTTTTACCTATTGATCCAGTTTTCTCAATTTGGGTTAATTTTAACATAAAAGTGTCCATAATAAAATGTTTACAAATTCAAAGAGCTTTAAGGCCATCTATTTTTTTCCTCGAAATTCAAAAGTTGAAGATTTTTGAAAAAACAAGTCGTTTTTTTTTTCAGTTTCCTTGCGTTCATTACTCTTCCAAATGTTAATTGGTTGTTTAGTTTTTTGAAATTTTTTATGCGAAAATACAGGTACCACGACGAAGAGTGATGTATCATATTCAAGTCCTAAAGTAGCGATTTGAGCGAAATTCACAATTTTCCGAAAACTTTTCTCAGTTTCGAGTAAATGCTTGAAACTGTTGATTTTTTCATCTTATTTCGGGCAAATAAATTGAGGGCAAAGCTCATTTTCAGTTTATATTAGTAAGCTTAATTTTTTTCTTCAAGTCGTGAATACTTATTTTTACTCCAGTAAACTTAGTTTTCAAATTTTCTTTATTCCTTCTTGGGAATAAAGAATTTTTCGATTTTTTTTCAGATCCTGTCGTAACAACGCGAACAAAAAATCACACAATTGGAAAAAAAAGCTTTTTTTATTGTGGTCGGAACTGTGTGTTCTACTTGCATAGCAACCGGCTATCCTTGTTTAGTTCGGGGATCAGATTCTTGCTGTGAACAATGAGAACCTGATGAGAGCGACTCATGAGAAGGCGATTGAACTCATTTCTATGGACAAAGTGGTCCTCATGTCCATAAGGAGAGTGGGCTGCATACCCGAACTCGCCAAGAGAGCCAATACAAGCAACAATTTAAGGCAAGGAAGATTTTAGAGGTTGATAAAAAATGGGATTCCAGTTGAAAACCAGTCTGGTGTTTGGAATCTGGGGAATAACCTTAATTATATATTTGAACATGCAGATAACTCGACAGATAAGCTGGATGGCTCAAGCAAAGTTCACATTGTTTATAAGTTTTATTATATCGTTATAGATTTACCTAAAATAGTTTTGTTTGACCCTTTTTTTATTAGTACCCTGTTGTTCTTGCAAGTAGTTTCATAGCTGTTATCTTTCTTTGCGTAATCACTGAAGTTTTTATTCAGGTTCAGACAGCTCTCGGGTCAAGCGAGGAGTCAAATTGGTAGTAGGAATGAAGCGCCAACTGGAAGCAATAATAGAAACGAGAGTGGGGCAATCGACAGGTCACAGTTGCATTCATCAATGTCGTGAGTATAATTTACTAAGTACAGTTTTCGTAGCACTTCGCTTATCTGGTTAAAAGATGAAACGTTGGTGTACTGCTAGGTTTCATTATTTATCGTGGATGAGGAGTGCAAGTGTAGGTGAAATTTAACGCAGAGTTTTTGCTTACACTGAATGAGAATATTGTTTTTTTTTGTCAGGAATCTACTTGTGGACAGTGACCGTGGCTCAGACTTCAAATCTGTGAGAACTATTAAAATATCAACTTTATGATTTATTTTAGAAAATATTTATAATTTATGGTCAATAATAATAAAATTGCTTTTCAGTTGACCTCTACCGATGTTCCCATTTTAAGTCGGAACACTTCGCCTGCTACTGCTTCGGTAAATTATTTAAACGCGAAATATTTTATTTAGATAGTATTCTAGTTTCAATTTCATTTCTTGTACCTGTTCTAGAGCATTGAAGACATTGAATCTGGAAGACGTCATAGGTCGACTAGACAGCTGGCTTCTAGTAGAGTTAGTCCCTACAGAAATATCGAGAGGCAGGAAACATTAACTAACAGGTGTGTTCAAGGAAACTTAGATTTTGGCATTCCCTAGCTTAAGAACTTCGCCAACTGAACACGTTGTTAATGGACAAATCTTACAATTTAACTGCAAGTTTAATCATATACTGTTTGAAAGATTTAACCTATAACCATTTTGTACTCGAAATGAAAACATTGATTGGAACGCGTTGTTTTTTTTTGTTTGGAACAGGTTTTCGAAATCCACTTTGGCAATCAGCAGAGATTATCAAGATGAAGAGGAATCGGAGGATGAGTTCCTAGTTGAACAGAGAAGACAGCCACCTCCAACTCAGATGCGACTAGTACCACGAAGTCCACGAAGAAGTGATTCACCCAAGGTTACATACACTGGAATTTAAAAAAATCGATGATTATTTAGGATGCGAAAAGCTATAGATGCAACAATTTAATTAACTTTCAACACACAGAAACGGTTGGACGAGTTCATAAGGCTAAATAGACAATGATAACTAACGATGGGATTTTTTAGTTCGTGAGCCGAGGACATCATTCCTCGTTGTCATTGGCCGACCTGAACAACTCGGACTCTCCGGAACCCCGAATCATTTCTTCATCCTATGACGACGAAGATGACTCACTCTCACACCAACCCAAATACCACTACTCATCTATGGGTCTGCAAAGAACGAAGTCGAGGAGTAACTCCAATCTAGGTCTGCCGAATCAGTTATTGAGTGCAGATGAAGAAAAGAGAGTGAACGGAAAAGGTGTTCACAGGCAAACTACAAAAACATCACGAGATGTTTTCATTCCTCCGTTAGTAGTCTCAACAGCTTCTAGTCTTTTCTATAGGAGAGTTAAATAATATAATCTTTTTACAATTTTACACTAGTGATCAGTGTTGTGTATTATTACGAACCTTCTTTTTTTCTAACCTAACTCACAAATAAATGTGTTCACTTATTTGGAAATTTCACTGTAGCAGTGGAAATTGCATAGCATATGTTCTTTGCTTTATTTGTGGCTAGTGTCATTAAAGAAGCGTCCGTGGCTGAGTGGTTAGTGTGTGAGATTCACAATCTCTAGCTCGTAGGAGGTCGTAATCCGAGACGTATCCAATTGTTTATTTGTTTGAGGCTTATTTCTTTTTTCTTATTGCACTTTATAGAGCTGCTTTTTGTCGAATTCTCGTGTTTGCAAAGCGCAGCTTCGCCTCTGTATCGAAAATTCTTAATTTTTGTTGATTACGTTTGAATGTTTCATTATTTGTATTTGACAGCAGGCTTATTGTTCCGACTTTCGATACGAAAGTAACGGAATATTTGTGCTCGGGGTGGGTTTTTTTTTTCTTCAGACATATTTCGACTTTTTAACTAGCCATTTTTGACGGAATTTTTTTATATCATTCAAAAGGTATTGTTGTCCTGAGCTTACATTTGAAAAGATATTTCACCTGTGATCATTTTTCGTAAAGTTATGAGGGTTTAAAGATTGCCATTTTGACCAATTTGGGACAATTAACGCGCAATATAATTCGCGCTCTATTAACGCGTAAGCGGAGATTTAATCCGTCTTATAAATCGTTCCAAATTGTTTGAACGAAGCTTATTTGCCATAATTGATTTGTTACAAGGAACGAAATCTATCTTTTTGTACTTTATATGGCGTGTGGGGGGATGATTTTCATAAAAAATTTCAAATTTTAGAGAAAAAAAATTTCATTTTACTTTATTACATTTAGTTTTTTTGATGTATTACTGCTGCTCAATAAACCCTAAAAGGCAGTCGGAACATTCAGGGCTTCGCCCTGATACGAGCAGTCTTGTTTCTAATTTTTATTATTGCACTTTATAGAGCCGCTTTTTGTCGTGTTCTCGCAAATGTTTGCGAAGCCAAACTTCACCTCTGTGTCAAATTAAAGATCTTAGAAGCTTGGTAGTAAAAAAAGCCGCCCGAATATCGATTCTCGTGTAAATTTGACTTGGTGCCTTTTCTCATTTTGGTGATCCATGTTTTTCTCGGAAAAAATAACGAAATGGCCATGGTTATGAAACTTAGTGGTTCCAAAATCTTTTCACAAGAATTTTAATCCAACCATAATTGTCTCATGTTTCTTTTTAGGTTATCTGAACGGGAGCTACAGGAAGAGAAATTGGTTCGTAACCATTACGTTATATCCACCAGTTCTTGTCAATTTCGATAAGAGTGAAAAAGTAATCCTCAATTTAATGATGGAGAATAGTGAAAGCAAGTGATCTTGCAGTTGATTTTTTGACATTCGGGCAAAGAGCAACAAGTTTTGCATTGAGAAACCTAGAAAACCAATTCAAAATTTAGGAAAAAAAGTTCGAGGAAAAAAGAAAGCCCGATATGAATGTAATGAACTAATTTAGTGTGTTGTGTTGCAGCCTGAGCGCAGTTGTAGGCGGATAAGGGTGGAGAAGGTAGCTGGTCGCTTGGGATTGGCAATTGAGGGAGGGGCTGACACTCACTTGCAACTGCCCACAATTATCAAAATTAAGGTGCGTGTTTCTATAATTTCAAAAAGGTTCAAAAGTTTTGACGAAAATTTTTATATGGCCAACTTGTTTGTATGGCCTTGATTTATATGGAAACTTGTTTGTAAATGCGGTTGCCGGAGATTTTAATTTTTCCAGAAATTTTTCGTTAGGGATCAATCAATATCTTCAAGACCCACTTATCATGCTTGTACCAAATAATTACGTACTTCATTTCTATTGTGATGGCTGAAATGTGATGAATTTCAATCGTCATTTTCTATTAATCAGTTTCTAAAGTCAAAAGTGGCTGCGATTTTTAATCATTTTAAAACATCACTAAGTTATTAAATGACTCTTTTTTACACCGAATTTGTCAATTGATTTTAGCCCGACAGCTGTGCATGGTTCAATGATGAGCTAAAAGTGGGAATGCGTATTCTGGAAGTGAACAACAAACCCCTCTATGGACTAACACACGCAGAGTGTGGGAAGAAGATTGCCCAGAGCTTTCAAGCTAATTTTAGAGACTGCATCGAATTTTTAGTGGAGGGAAATGACGACCACGAAAACGAACAGCAATATGAAAATTCTATGGACTACTAAACAAAAAGGAACTTAATTAACCCGATTAGAGGAAGCTTCAAATATCCACAGAATTAGGCAGAAAGTCAATTAAAGGTGGAATAATACGATGGAATTCAGATAAATTGACTAAATTACGGATATTCACTCTTGAAAAATTACAGAAAAAGTTAGAGCGTGAAATCTTATTAGAGAGAAAAAAAGTTACCGATGAACTCAAACTCCAGTGGAGTTCCGAAAGTAAAGGAATGTGATACTCCGAAACGATCGACGATGCAAACGATAGCTTTACTTGTGACTTGACACAACCAAAAAGTTGAGATTTACAGCCTTTATTTTTTTCATATCAGCTCACCCATTCATAGCGTTATTTTCTGTGAACTGGATCCATAAATTCAAATCAAGACGAAAACAAAGCAGACTGAAAACTCTTTTTTAAATTTGTGTGAGGTGTTTTTCATATCAACATTTGATAATCAGCCAATTAATGTTTCATGTATTTTTCATGTTATTGAGTTTAGTAATTGTTCAACAGTTGTAGATTCTGTCTAGATTTTTTCCTGTTTTGATAGTTTATTTCTAAATCTGCGTTTTTTAATTATTTAGTTATGTTAGTTATGGTTTATTTGTTACAATGAATTGTTGAATTTGTTGATTTCTGTTCAATTTAAAATGTCATTTCAATAAATATCGCAAGGCCGAGTGAGATTTCTGCTTATTAGTTGAGTATAAAAGATCGAAGTATAAAGTTCTCGATAATTTTTAAGAGTAATGAACGTAGTGAGTGGTGTTTTTGTTTTTTCTTTTCGGGAAAAAGTATAGAATTTTTCACGCTTTATCTTGATTTTTCGCGGTTTGACTTGGGATTTTTTTTAAGTTCAGTGAATTTCCTTTGTGAAAAGGAAGGCAAACTCCACTGTCGAAGAGCAAAAGTGTAAAGGTCGCGAAAAATGTGTTGATTTCTAATTTTGAAAATGGAATTTTATTTCCCAGCGAAAAAAACTTCTAGCTATTTATTAGCAAATTAGGTTAATTTCATGAAAAAATTGTGAATCATATCATAAATTGTTCAAGAAATTTATGTTCTGAAATAGTTTCAGGAAAAAGTCCTGAAATACTCTATTAACAGCAGAAGTGCATGATGTGTACCAATTACACTTGCAGATATGGCTCGAAAAATTTAGAGATTTCCCTGTTTCCGAATAGAGATTATTTTGCAATTTCAGGTGAACGTTTGAGATGAACATAGCGTTTGGTAAACTTCGGAAATACTCAAGATGCACAGTAGCAAGTGTAGTACTTAACTACAACGGTTTTTGAGCTGGCAAATTTAAGCATAAAGATGGAAAAACTAATTGACAGATGTTTATACAAGCAATGCTTGTGTTATAGTATGAACTATCTTTTTTTTCCAACCTAAGTCGCAAATATTGTTGCGGCCTAAATATTGTTGCGATAAAATGTGTTCATTTTGAAAGTTATCATTTTGATTAATAACCAGCTATTAAGTACAGCCAATGCTTAGGATATTAATGCTTAGGCTATAATTGTTCCGATTTTTTAACTAAAAATTTTGGCGGGAATTTTTGTATCATTCAAAAAGTATTGTCTTGAGTTAAAATTTGGAAAAATATTCCACCTGTGATCTTTTTTTGTAAAGTTATGGGTGTTTAAAAATTGCCAATTTGGGACAATTAACGCGCGATATATTTCGCGCTATTAGCTATTAACGCGTAAGCGAAGGTTTAATCCGTCATAGAAATTGTTCCAAATTGGTTGATGGAAGATTATTTGCCATAATTGATTTGTTACTAGGAGTGAAATTTATCACTTTGTTCTTAATATGGCGTGTGTAGGATGGTTGTCACAAAAAAATCTCAATATTAAAAAAAATCACTTTTATTGTATCATTTTTTTAGTTTTTTCATTAAGTTATTACTGCTCAATAGACTGCTGTATGAATTGAGGGATGTTAGATGATAATTTTTTTAAAATCAAATCAACTGCTAATGCGTCACAATTGGTCACAGAAATTTTGTAGACTCAAAGTTTTACTCTTTCAGTTTTTCCCTGTAGCGTTGTTGGTCATTTTTTGCTTGTGTATGCGAAGTGCAACTTCGCCTCTGTGTAAAAGTTGCTTAGTCTGGGTTTCAGTTTTCGTCAATATTCAAGACAAAACTACCCTACAGTTAATAACAAAACTGAAAATCATGTTCAAAACAAAGTTATCTAAATGCGCGATAAGCGTTGATTCAAACGCATAGAAAAGCTTGTACCAAATTAAAGCTTACGCTTGCAAAATAATTGGTTTTTCTTGCCAGTTCAGCGCAAGAAGTCTGCGTAACTAACTCTTACTTGATAAAAACCGTTCCGCTGAAAGACAGCACATCTAAAGTTCAACTCGAGGCTGGGCTGATACCCGCAGAAATAGAAAATGAGTCACAGAGGGGAATTCAGGGCAAAAAAATTCCTTGGTCAAAACATAGTAAATGTTGGTCAAAAGCTTGTGTCAAGGTGCTAATCAAACCATTTAATAAGTCAAATTTCTCGAAAAATCCTTCTGCTTGGTCAAAAGAATTGATAGTTTAACCTGCTAGATGGTGTAAAAATACATCCTTCTCTTACTCATTGTCACCAACGTTTTTTACACATGTTTTTGTCGTTAATATAAATGAACATAGTAAAAACACTTATACAGGTCGAAATGTTTTTTTTCATGGTTTTCAGTTTTAGTCAAGCTTGATCTATTGTTGCTTGACTTCTGAAATTTTTATATTCAATCAAATTAAATTCGCTGAAAATTATTCTCTCCGATGCCTTTAGTTCAAATTGCACTAAAGGGTTTGTATGAACACTAGTTGCAGAAGTGGACTATAATTTATAGATTTCCTCGCGGTATAAAAAATTTACATATTGATCAAGTTTTTTTTTCAAATTCGTTTGTTTTTCCAAAACAAAAATCAATCGGTAAATTTTCTTGTAATTCAAAAAGACATAAGAGCAATTTTTATCTTTGACACTTTTACAACTGTTGGTTTTCTTTAACATTTTCCTACTCAATATAAGGTATCAGAAAAAAACTATCAGATTACGTTTATTGATATAACTCACTGGAACATTTTCAGTGGTAAATTAAATGACAAGAAAGAGCAATTGGTTTGACTTTTTGGCGCATTCAGTCGAAAATCGAGCAAGTGAAGCGGATGAGTTGATGTTAAACTGTAAAAGCGTTCAATTAAAACTGAAGATATTTAGTTCAAGATTTTTTTGTTTCAAATCTTCATTTAGCAATAGATAAAAAATGTCAAATTATATACTCTTTGAAGACAACCATGGGTTAAACCACCATTTGAAACAAACCAAGTTTAAAAAAATTATAATAATTTCGGTCGGAACTTTCTGTGCTACTTGTAAGGTAAACTTCTGCTCCCGTCATTTTATACTTTGATTGAATCTGTTTGTTTTGCTACCTCGGGCTTCCCCAAAATGATCCTGCAGATGGGTTTCATTTTGACTATACTTTTATGCTTTGTAACCTAATTAAGTCAGATCTTATGCCAACAAAATTTGTCATGGGGTCAAAAAAATTTGCGTAGCACATTTAAGTAGAATTGGAGCAAAAGTAGAATTGGAGCGAATTTTCTCTCTGTAATAAATTTTCTCCATTTCAATAGAACTTTTGTTTCCTCTTTCAATCTAAGTTCTTTGAAAGTGCAATCGAAAAAAAAGACATCGAATTATTTGGCGATTCAAACTCTTAATTTAGCCTGGAATTTTTTATCAAAACTGGCAACACACTGAATGTTCCCACTACTGTGGAAAAATAGAGCTTGTTCACCATATGAAATAGGCGATTTTGAAACGCCCATAAATTTTCAAAAAACTAGGTTGCAGTTAATGTATTTTTTCATTTGAAATCAAGGCAATATCTCTCAAGATCAATATCAAAGCATCAAAACATCATAAGATAACATTAATATCTACGATTATAAAACAACCCCTCCGAGCCGGGTGAATAATAAAACGAAATAAGTTCAAATTAATGTTCGACTCCTCCATTTTTTGTGCGACTCAATTTTTGCGAAAATCTGAACGAGTACTTCTTGGTCTAATGCAGATTTTGTAAATTTTGATGAGCCTAATCGTCCATTGGGGGAAAATCCTGCGGTTTTAAATTTATTGGCCTTTATGTGCAATTAAGACACTGCAGATGCTTTTTCTTGATTTTTGTGACTTCACAACGTGGGTTTATCATTCAGTAGAAAGATTATTTTTGGGTTGACGTTATCTCGATCTGCTTAGTTGTAGTTGCTGTCTTTTCGTAGGTCTGTCGTTGCTATTTTTTTTAGATGCGCGTGAGCCGTAATTCTTTTCAACGCCACACGAAAAACCCTGCAGCTTTTATCAAAAGTCGGTCGAATTGTGAGAATGATGCGACCATTGGTAGACATAGCGTTTATTGGGTTCATTTCCTTGATCAGAACTGAAGTTTCTGTTGATATGATACCAGGCCAGTGTATGGCCTGTAAAATCATGACGTTCGTCTGAACGCAATTGACAATGAATGCTCTCATTTGAAGAGCTTGACAATTGTGAGATCAATTTTTGACGTTTGCTGTGGAATTCACTGTGTTGCTTCAGTTCAAATGATGTGAAAAGCATCTAATGTGAATGTGAGGGGAAAATTTGATTGACTAGCATTGTCATGAAGAGTTGTTTGATAGTTATTGCACAGTGAAGTTGAAGAAAACTTTTGGATTACGTCACTGAGAGACAAACCATTTGAGCAAATTTAATGCGAATTTCTAAAACCTTTCGTTTTGATGGTATCATAGATCTGTTTTTTTTCCGACAAGGCCGAATTGCTTGTCTGTCTCGGCAGATTGCATCTTAATTTGGTGTTAAAGAGAAACATCTGCCTCTCGTGCTCAGTTTTGTGTTGTGAGGTATAGAATGAGATCTGTAAACCAATTCCAAAGACCTGCTCCTGTTGTATAGAATGCCATGAGTTGATCAAAGTCAAGTCCCAATGTTAGCTGCTTCCCATGCCTTCTGGGATTGAAGATTAGTCTCGAAGAGAACAGAATACCACCAATCATTTTGATCTAAGGACAACCTTGGTGTAATCGCTGTAGGTTTGATCCGCGTAGTTGCAAAAAGTTCTATTTATACAATGTCTCTATGCGGCTATCTTTCTTTTTTCGACTTGGCCAGTGATCTTCTGTGACTCCTGGCGTTGATCAAACATTTGTGTATTTTCTGCATCATTAGTGATATCGTCCAACATCTCGTGACCAGCAATAAGGATTGAGCCAAGCAATGATCCAGATGTTTTGCTTCATTGATCAACTCGTCTTGATTATAATTGAGGCTAGCACAAAGGTCATTGACTTGATCAACTTGCCCTTTCAGAACTCGCAGGCAAATTTTTGAAACTCGTTGAAGCTTTTCCATAGTTGATGGAGTTTACCGTTTTTTACGGCTCAGCCAGTTTGTTTAGTTTCCTTGGGTTATGAATCGGATAGCTGTAAAGCGACTGTATCAAACCATAATTGAATTAAACGCATTTTGTTTAGTACAATTTGCAGGTTAATGAAGTGAATAAATACGGTAAATTTTACATGCGTTCAAATTTGAGTTCACATATGAACAATTTATCTGACCAATAAAAACATGCTTTGTATGCCCCAACCTCAAATGTTTCAATTGAATTAAATAAGTGCAAAGTTAGATATGATCCAAATATGCTGACATGAAGTTGCGATCGATCTGTTAAGTTACGTCATAATTTTGTATCTGAAGTTTTAAAAAATTATAGAAACAGTATGGGTTCCAAGCTTCCTTGCAGTACACTGGTCGTCTGATCGTCATGTTAGGGAAACAATTTCGGGATCCATTTGCGGAGTAGCATCACTTCTCTGGCGTAGCTCCGTCCACTCCTCTTGGTAACCTTGTTTCGTTCGGCCCGGATTATTTTCATATCAACTGCTATCGATTCTTCCCACTCGCTAGCTTTATTGGTCTTCGTTTGCACTTTTTTTACCTGCAACAAGACGCATTACACTACCAGCAGGCAATAAAATTCAATTTTCAAACAACACAACACACTTACTGTCTTGAGTGTAATCAACTAAGGGTTTCAGTAATTTATCAAACAAAAAGAGAATGGCGCAAAGGTCGAGTCATGTTTTTTTTTCAATCAAAAGTATGGCACTTTTCAAATTGAATTACTGTGCAAGAAAACGTTAACTACCAGTTAAGATCTATGAGATGTAAAAACTTAATCAGGAGTAGTTAACATAATCGAGCCTGCAATATTTCAGTTTCAACCCACCAACGAACTCCCATGCCTGTGCCAGTGACATCCTTAAAATCATCATCGTAGCGTAAAATTAGTATGTAGGTTAGAACCAAAGAATTGTAAGCTTAATTATGTTAACTTCTCCTGACTACGTTTTTCCATTTCAATGATTGTGATATTTTATCCGCTCCAATCAACGGCGGATCTGCAACTTTCTTAACGGGAGAGTAGTATATGAGTGAGGGAGAGTGGGGGGGGGGTGGGTGCGGACCCCCATGTATTAACATAGGCTATAGAGTATCCGGTCCGCAGGCTATGTATTAAGATAGGTTATAGATTTTCCAATGTATTAGGATAGGGAATAGGTTTCCCAATGTATTAAGATACGAGGTTTCAGATGGTAAGTTTCAGAAAAATTTTTGGCGCCCGATCTTACCATTTTTTAAGATTCTCTACAACAATGCGATAGGTTTTTGATTTTTTCATTGTACTAAGATATGATTTTTATTTTGTTTTAAACCATTAGAGTTTAAATTGAAAGTGTCTGAAACTATGCTGAAACCTAACTGAAGCTTCAAAGAAGAAAAAAAGTTTTTCAGAAAAAAAATTAAATTACTGTAAATTGTTATATTACAGTTGAAAAGTTGAATAACATATAAATCATTGTATGGTATGAAGTTTTACTACAGTTTATAGAATAAACTTACAAATTCAAGGGCTTAGTATGTATTCCATCATTAAGTACCTCCCTTTTCGGGTAAAAGTAACTGAGTCTTTTTTTAGTTTGTTCATTTGTTCCAACTAAATGGTTGGAAGTTTTGAATCCGCGATTGGTCGACTTCAAATTTACAGCTTTGTCAAGAACTCGTCCGGGTTTAGACATTGGTCCATCCCCAGTGTCTTCTAGCGTTCTTTTGTTGAGCCCTTTGCTGCTAAATTTGAATTTGTCGCTCTTACTATCATAGCAGCAATACGTCTTGCTGCACAGGCACAACATTTCAGTACAGCGAAATTCTTCTTTGAATAATCCAGGTTCTCGTTTGTCATGCTTTTTGTGAACAACGCAGCATGTACGTGGAAAAAAATTCTTATCTGCATCAGCTATGAAGTCATCTCTACAATCATTTCGACGAATAAGTGTCCACTGAGCTTTCTTCTCTGGTAAAATACAATCGTCCAGGTTATCTTCTGCTAATGCTAGATACAAAGAGTCCGTATCCATCTCCAACTCCTCGAATTTATTCTCATCGCAATACTTGTGGAAGAAGTTGTAGTATAACTCCAACATTCTAAGTTTGGCGTATTGAAGAATGAAAAAACCTACAATAATTGGTTCTCTATGTTCAATTGTTGACTTCAATAGTTCTACTTCATATAAGTCCTTTTTTACAATATTCAATCGCTTGAAAAACTTCTCATTTATTGCTTTGTGTGTCTTCTCATCGCCGAGATATTTGGTTATCGTGTGTCTGGATCTGTCCATAATTTGATAACCGTACGAACTGTTACCGAGAAGCTTCATCGTCTCAGCAACAACTCCAGAATGTGGATTCTCGTCTCCTTCTCGTCGAGCATCAACAACAGATTGAACAAATTTGTTGAAACATTTCCTAGGTGTGTACTCAACAAATCGATAAATTTTTGTACATTGAAGTCCAAGACTTAGATAGAAGTTAAGAAGAGGTGTGATGATTGTACCATTTTCTAATTTAAAACTGGAAATCAACATTCGTTGTGGGTTTTTCAGCAAATCGTTATCTTCGGCATAGTTTTTCATGTATTCTCCAATATCGTTTCGGGAGACGTCAATGTTTTTGAATATTGGAGGAAAATTTGAAAATGTAGGCTTCAACTCAGCAGGAACTATTAAATCGCATTGCACATAACCAAAAAGAGATCTGTTCTTTATTTTTTCAACTAAAGAATCAGTAGACAGAGGTCTTTTGTAAGGAAAATTTGTCTTGACATGATTCTTGATTGACGAATCTGTTTTGAAATGCTTCCACCATTCACACTCCCACATTTCCTGAATTTTGTAACCTCTTTCTTTTATGTACTCTCGTCTCAACTCATCCATTTCTCGCTTCTCACTTCCCCTTTCAATATCTTGTTCTGACAACGATGGACGGGTTTCTTGACATGAGCAGAAATGATAGTAGCAACCCATAGCTTCAAATACTGTTTTACAGTGATTACAGTAACCATCAACATGAAAACAGTCAATTTTTTTCTGCTTTCCGGTTGTGTAAAAACTCTGAATTTTACACTCTGGTCTCAATTCTTGATAAAAGGACATAACCATGTTCCCGAAATTTCTTGTTTTGTTATTTCTAGCTTTAAAACAATCAGTTTCAGAGTCATACTCCCATCTTGTGTAAAGTCCGGTTGGCATCTCTTGACACATTGAGAATGGATATAATTGGCTAGCGTCAATTCCAACTATTGTCTTACAAATATTTGACGAGTTACGAATATAAGTTTGATCGACAACAGCTTTTCGCGTAAAAACTATTGATGGACCACCAGTCATGTCTTCTCTAATTTTCTCACATAAATCTTTATCTCCTTCAAAGAACGGGTAAAATTTGTGATTTGTCGACTTGTGTAAGCAGATATTTGCAAGATTTGGAAGCGTGCATCCCAGTTTCAGCATGTCATTTCTCTTATCATGGTAAAACTCGATCATTTTTTGCATAGCTTCAAGAGTAGGAACAACATCTTTGTTGCTGTACCATCGTAAGAAGTCTTTGAAAGCAATCATGCTTTGTTGTTCCCAGATGTTTTTCAAATACGAGTAATTTTCAAAACCTGTTGGTGGAATTGATTGAATACGCAACTTTTTCAGCGCACTTTGTTGATCAAGTCCTCCATTAACCAGTTTTTGGTAATCGTTGAAATCTTTCTCGAGAGGGTTGTGGTTTCTCAGTTTGCTGAAAAAGGTTTCATATGGAGGCAACTCCGTACAGTCAAGCTTGTCTGGACTGTCAAACCATTCGTAAGGGAAAAAACCTTTGGTCTCACTTGCTTTATAGGCTTTCAGAAACGAATCCAATGTTTTTGCCCCTCCAAGAAATTTCATTATGTCCAAAAACTGAACATCTCCAAATTTGAATGATATGAAGTCATTTGCTTTTTTAATGACTGTTGGTTCGGTTTCTTTATCACATATAAGGTATGGAATCAAATAAGATTTGATAAGGTTCAGATCGTATCTGCCGCTATTGAAACCGAACACCGGTAAGGTATTAACATAGCGCTCTAAATGCAGTTTCAAGTCGATCAACTGATTTTTTGAATTCTCAAGAATTGTGTTGACATGTCATCTTCGTCGCCATCCTCAACACATTCATCTTCATAATCGAAAACTTCTAGTCTTTTAGTTAAAGTTCTAGCATTAAGCTTACCAAAGATCTTTTTGACTCGATCATTGACAGTGTTTTCGATTTCTTGAAACTTGGTTCTCATTTGTAGTTTACTTTTTTCAGCCAGAAGTTCCAAGCTGGAAACAAAAGCAATTATTAGAAGTTCTGGATCTTTTTCACACAAGAAAATTGGAGCATCTTGCAGATTTGAAGATATTGATACGGAAATAGGGACATGTTTTCCAATCCAAGTAGTTGTTTCAGTTGCTTTCAATTCTTCTGTGGGAACACAAATCGATTCGAAGTCAAAAACTGCAACATTGCTAAACAATTTCTGATCTTCAGTGTAGGGAATGTTGAAGCCATCCAATTTCTCGAATATTGTTTCCCGTAGTGTGTACGCATTTTTGGGATAAATATGTCGCACTCGATCTTTACAAGTTAGAAGATGTCGGTTGAAGTTGTCTGATCTGTTGAAGAAACAGTCACAGCTAGGACATCGAAAACACTTGAAGAAGGAAACAATATCATTCGTGTGAATAATATGGTTGTTGAATCTTAGCAATTTCACCGTTTTTTCAAATTTTCCAATACTTCGCCTGACTAATTCTCCAACATATTCTCCTTCTTGAATATCAAAATCGTAAATGAATAAGTTTCGTTCAACTATTCCCTCTACAACAGGTAAATCATCGATTGACACTCCACGAAAATTCTTCGGATCGTATCCCGATTTTGATATAAACTCTGTAAACAGCTGAGATGTATGAGCATCGAGGTTACTATGACCATGCAAATACATTGTTAACGCACGGAAAAGACAAAGATGATCTTTGTATGGTTGTTTATCTTTGTCCGATAAAAGACAGTTTACTTGCGTATGTCGTAGTAAAGGTTCAGGCAACACAGAGTCTGGACATCCCATTGGGATGTTTTTCAGTAGTGCAGCAAAAATAGTAACATTTGTGATCAACTTGAACCTCCCTTTTGTGTTCTGACGTTCTTGGGTGCATTGCTCCACGATATCAAACTTTTCAACTTTTCCTTGGATTGTAATCAAATCCGCTTTAGTACACAGTAAATGCGATTTTTCGAACAAAGTATTGTTTTCGTGTGCATAGTAATACCGATATTCTCCCGTTTCGACATTACGGAGAACAAATTCAAGAGCAATATTGATTTTTGCAGCGGAATCTAGCTTGTTAAAGACTTCTTCAAGCTTCTCGTTGATAATCTTGGTATCTAACTTTGACATTTGAAAGTTAAATACCTTATGCCTCCCATTCTCCATCTCAGTATCCACCAAGAAATGCTGACAAGCACTCAACTCCTCTTTGAGTTTCTCTCCATCTTCCCCTTCCTCCTCCACAATCTTGTTCA